TAATACGCGTTCAAAGTTGAAAATTTGAAATGAGAATGTTCGGAAAAGCCCGATTAATTTTGGGACACCATTTTTAACTAATATTGTAATTAGTGTCAAATTGATAGATGTTAAACGTCAAATTGATAATAGTTTCATAATATTGACATTTTGAAAATATCTCAAAAACTATATTAATTAATTACTAAAAATCGTGAAATTAATACATATTTTGCATTGTTAATAATTGCACATATTTCTACAATTTTTCATTTTAATTGGAAGTGTATGTCGATGCAAATTAATTTCTAATAAAATTGCTGCAACACGCTGTTACCACAACCTTCTGATTGATGATGCATAGCTACGCATACAAAACGCTAAGCGAAGCCTCGGACCATTCGGATTTCTATTAGAATCCGCTCCAATTTGTATTATTAAGACGTAATAATGTGTTATCCAACCGGGCGTTTCACGTTATAATTGCAACAATCCTGATACGATAATCTATCTATATGGAACTCCGCATATTCCAATTTTATTATTATTATTATTATTATTGCACATACATTTTTAATTATTCAATTTCTCTTTCATATCGATATTACTATAGAATTTTTAATTTTGATTGGAAATAATCAAAAATTAATAACAAATTATGAATTTTTCTAAACTAAGTTTCTTCGATCTATAATTGACATGAGACATAAATGACATTTAGATGCGTCAACTGACGTTATTATGTAATCGGTTGTTATTGAAACTCAATTGGCAGGTCTCCGTATGACGTATGAATATTTCACTCTGCTAAATGAGAATTGAAGTTTTCAATAATAATTGAATGAATCCATGAAATGTTACTATATAATTGACAGGTGACATATTAATGACAGCTACTTGCACCAATTGGTTACTATGGAAACTGAAATGACTGCTGCGATTACTTAATACTTGATGCAGCATAATATGAATAAATATGTAAAGTCCTTGCAAACAAAGCGGTTCTAATTAAGTAACATTTTATTGTTGCGTCCTTGTGATGAATGGATGCGACGTAACTTATTTCTTGTCCTCATCCAAAGACGCCTCATATGACTCGATTGAATCATACTGTGTGTAATTGCTTCCATTAGTAAACATCGATGCATGAAAACGCCTCTCTTTGCACAATGGTCATTCCTAGGATCGCTCGAACGAGATCTAATTGTCCGGTTTCTGCAGACGATGACAACGGCAAGAGCAGGAAGCAGTTGTTGCTGCTGTTGCTGATGTTGTCGTCGTCTTTGATGGCGTAACAGTCTTTCGTTCCAAGGTCACGAGCGGCTGGAATCCCGCTCGGTTTTGCACCAGTTTTCACTTTTTCCTCATCGCAGCCTACCGGAACATTGGAGCCTCGTCCTTGGCTCTTCAAAAGGCGGCAATGAACCTGCACAAATCGGAATGATTGATTCTCCTCCTTGCAGAAGAAGTGTGAGTATACGTGCGTGTGTGTGTTTGCGACAGGGCGGGGCGCTTATAAAAGGACTCGATCGAGGACAGATGCTCAACATTATCGCGAGTTCTTTCATTAGAAGCGCACCATGGTGTCAATAACATTATCAATCCAGGTAACAAGATAATTTACATAATTAGATACCTGAAGAGATGTTAAGGTTTTACGTGGTTTTCAGGTTATAGCTGCGGTTCTGGTCACAGTCCAGTCCTCGTACGTGCATCACGGCGGAGTGACCATCGGGATTACACCGTACGCCCATCCGGTTCAATCGCAGTACCACGCCCAAGACGTCTTCGGCCAGTACACCTACGGATACTCAACACCAACCTCCAGCAAAAGCGAAACCAAAACCGCCGATGGCGTCACCCAAGGAGGATACTCCTACATAGATTCCAACGGTTATTTGCAATCCGTCAGCTACGTGGCGGATCCCATCCACGGATTCAGAGTGGCCGCGACGAATCTCCCTCAAGACCTTCCGGATGTTGCCTACGCCAAAGCCAAACATCTTGCTGACTTCGAAGCCATCAAAGCCGAGCACGGATTAGCTAGAGTCGCTTACTCGAATCCGGTTGCAGTGCCTTTCGGAGCAGTACAACCAGTGCAAGATTTACCAGAAGTGGTTTTGGCTAGAGCGCAACATCTCGCCGCAGTCCAAAGGGCGTTACATCAACAACAGCAATTCGTTCCACAACCCGTGCAGGATCTTCCTGAAGTCGTCAAGGCTAGAGCTGAGCATTTGGCAGCAGTTGAAACCATCAAGGCTAGAGACGCCGCAATCCGTTTCAGCCCTGCCCAACTCCACGGACACGTCGTTCCCATCCACTACCAACAGGTGGCGCCGGCTCCGTTCATCCCTCAACCCTCGGCTCACATCTCTTACGCCCCAGCCCTCAGCTCGCAGTATCACGCTCAAGACAACTACGGCCAATACACCTACGGTTATGCAGGTCCATTGAGCTCGAAGAGTGAAACGAAAAGTGCTGATGGTGTTACCAAAGGAGGATACTCTTACATCGACGCTAACGGTATCCTTCAAACCGTCCATTACGTCTCCGATCCGATACACGGATTCCGCGTTTCCGGATCGAATATACACGGCGGATACGCCGCTTAATTATAGACAATTATTTATAACTATGTAATATATTTAAACGTGTTGTATAATAAAATATAAAGAAACGAAACACATCGATTATTTTTTATAATAACAATAATAAATTTGGGTCGATTGGATTTTATGGTGCGTAAAAATTCTCGGAAACGTACAAATCCAAACAGAAAACCAAATAAGTTTCCACATTGTTGTTGTTGTTGTTGTTTAAATCGAAGAAACACGTAGCTTTCAACTTCGAAATAACAATGCTGAAAGAGTGATTATTTGGCAACATTTCAATTCCAAAATTGCTTCAATTTTTACTATATTAAAGATGTAATTGAAGCAATTTATAAATGATTGAAAGCAAGAAATGTAATCAAGTGAAGATTTTAGAAGAAAATATATAAAAAAAAATTGAGACAATTTAACAAATTTACTATATTTTTACTAATTATTGAAATTTCAACATTTTTTTTACAGAATTGTAGAAAATTTTAGAATTTACTATTTACACACTTTGTACAATCTCTTTTACTTATCCCAAATACAATTCACTATATTTTTACTAATTATTGTAATTAATAGAAAAGTGTATATTTTTATTAATAATTACATTTTTTTTACAGAATTCTAGAAAATCTTAGACTTTATGTAAAAATCATTCATAAAAATCAGTTCTTGGAAACGTACGAATCCAAACAGAAAACCAAATAAGTTTCCACATTGTTGTTGTTGTTGTTGAAATCGAAGAAACACGTGGCTTTCAACAACGAAATAACAATGCTAAAAGAGTGATTATTTGGCAACATTTCAATTCCAAAATTGACCATTTCCTATATATTGCTTCAATTTTTACTATATTAAAGATGTAATTGAAGCAATTTATAAATGATTGAAAGCAAGAAATGTAATCAAGTGAAGATTTTAGAAGAAAATATATAAAAAAAAATTGAGACAATTTAACAAATTTACTATATTTTTACTAATTTATTGAAATTTCAACATTTTTTTTTACAGAATTGTAGAAAATTTTAGAATTTACTATATATAATTTTCAATTTACACACTTTGTACAATCTCTTTTACTTATCCCAAATACAATTACTATATTTTTACTAATTATTGTAATTAATAGAAAAGTGTATATTTTTATTAATAATTACATTTTTTTTTACAGAATTCTAGAAAATCTTAGACTTTATATCAAAATTGAAAGTAAGTTTGGTCTTCTCAAAGATTTTGGAAGAAAATAGATTCAATTAATTATAAAGTATAAAAATATACTTAATAAATAATGAAACAAATCTAATGGAATCAAAATTTTCCAAAATATGTTTGTCTTTAACTGAAAAAATTACGTAAATAACTTCAATATTTTTACCTTTAAAGTGAGAATTTAGATGCGACATGAACTTAAATTTTAGAAAATATTATGTAATAAAACATGTAGCGAAATGTTTTTTTTTTGCAAGCAAGAAAACGGCTGGAATGAAACGATTTTGCTGCGATTAAAACGCGCTCGATTTTGCATAGAATGTTGTTGTTGTTGTTGTTGTAATGTAATCTGGAATAAATCGAGCGTGCTGTGCTGCAGATATACACACACACACACTTGATCCTAATTACAAATTGAAATTATTCATAACTCATTCCTAATTAAAACGGTGCAAGCAGTTACGCAACGTTCATTCCGAATACCATTAACGAAAAAAGCAAATACTAAAGAGAGTTAACAAAAAAAGAGGAATTGCATTGGATTTCTCCTAACAGAATTCCATGCAGTAATGATTCGGCTAAAATCCGTTCGAGATTAAAATAAGAAGTGTAAACAGAAGTGGAAGGACTTTATCTTGAGGCGGGCGCGCATTCATTTATTTTGTCCGTTTCAATGTCACATTATGTAGCCAGACGGAAATAATTGGGTGCAGTGCAGAAGAGAGCGAGTGAGTGAGTGAATGAGAGAAAGATTGGAGGATTAAATGCGTTCAGCTATGGAATTTCGAATGTAAACAATAATAGCTGATTCGCTTCAAATCTGCTAATATACTTAAGTCGTAAATATGTCTGTAATCGAGATGGAAAAGTTTTTTTCTTCTTTTGCAAAACAATAATAGATTTGTTTGTTAATCTAAGTAAGTCAATTATTATGCAATAAGTGGATGCGATTTTCAGTTGTTATAAATACACTTTAATTGAACTTTCAATGGTTTAAATTTGTATTTAATTGTAGTAAAATACGACTATTTATAAATTATTAATTAATTTCTTAGCTATTTCTTTACTTTATGACGCAATATTGTGTAATAATAAATTGTTATTAATCAAGGACAAAATTTTCAATTATATAGCACAAATAAATGCACACTTAATATAAGTGAAAGATTAATTAAAATTCATTTATATGTAACCAAAAAATGTAAATTTAACTACGTTTGGTTAAGATTTATCCTTAGAATTAAAATTATCAATAATATTAAGGTCGTTTGCGCTAGAAAGTTACCATTAACAAATTGACATTTGTATTTTTTTGTGTGTTTACAAGAAATTAAATCTTTGTCCGTATTTCGAAAGTGTTTCCGTTCTGTTGGACATTTATAAATTTACATACTTATATAAACTGCATTCATTACAATACGTACTTAATTCTACTCTTTGAAGTGATAAAGCGAAAGTTCAAACAGATTTGCTGATAAAAAAAAATATAAAAAGAAATAATAATTACAATTTTTTCTATTTTAATTAACTTTTTTTAATGATTGTACTAATTAACTGAAAAGTTGAATTGTTTTGTAATAACTTATAATTACAAATTCTATTAGAAATATTTTTTAGAGACTTTTATATATTCTTAGAACTTGTGTAAAACGATTTACTAAATTTATTTTGTTAATTATTATTTAGACCAAATACAATTTAGTTTTTTTTTTATAGTAATGATTGTATTCAATTAAAAGATAGTAATTTTATAGAAAATTGTAGAAAATCTTTGTAAATTTTATTCATAAATTGCAAATTTTACTCTTCGTTTAATAAATGATTTGTTAGATCTAATATACTTTACATTTGTATACTAATTATTGTAATTAATTGAAAAGTAGTGATTTTATGATAAAATTATAAAACGTATAAAGAAAATTATATTATTTTTTTGTAGAATTGTAGAAAATTAATAATTAATTTTTTTTATATTTCAATTAACGTTTTTTTAATGATTGTACTAATTAATAGAAATGTTGTATTGTTTTATAAGAACTTATAAATTCTATTAGAAAGTTGAAATAAATACAATTTATAAGAAGTTTATTAATAAAATTACATATATTGTTGTAAATTTTGAATTTGTTTAAATACTAATTATTGTATAATAAGAAAAGTACAACATTTTTTTTTAAAGAATTTTAGAAAATTGAATTTATATCGAATATATTTTACTTTATTAGACTAATTATTGTAATTAATATAATTTTGTGATAATTTTATACAAACATATCCAAAACTTATAAGAAAAATACAAAGAAATTGACATAATTGAAAAAATTACATTTTTTTACAGAATTGTAGAAAATTTTAGAATTTGTATAAAAATCATTCAAAATTTGCAATTTTCACTCTTTACTGTAATTATTGTAATTAATTAAAAAGTGATAATTTTTATGTAATAATTACAAAAGTTCATTTTTTCACTATTTTTTTTTTGAGACAATTTAAGAAAATTTTAGAATTTGTATGAAAATCATTCATAATTTGCAATTTTCACTCTTCAATTTACTATATTTTTATAAATTATTGTAATTAATGAAAAAGTGCTAATATTTTGATAAATATATATAAATCTTATAAAATTAATACAAAAGCTATACGAAAATTGAAATAATTACAAAATTCCTAAAAAAATACAAATATTTTTCAAGAATCTTAGAATTTGTAGAAAATTCATTCATAAATTGTAATTTTCGCACTTTGTTTAACTATATTTTGTGCTAATACCAAAGAAAATTTACATATTTTAGTAATTGTGAAAATAATGTGGAATATTCTAGAACTTGTTTCAGAATTAAAGTATAACAAATATCGTCTTTATCACTAATTGCGTTTCGTAAAATTTTGTAATCATAAGTTTTCATTAAAATCTCAAACACTTTAGAATTAAATAAAATAATCATATAATTCATTGCATAAATCGGAGAGAATAATTCTTGCTGCATGTTGTAACACCTGAACAACAGGTAAATCAATCTGCTTATGAAGTGCAGAATTTCGCAGCGAATGAAACGGTAATACAATATAATAAAAAATCCGATCCCAGGAATTCGCGTTGCATTCAAATGAGCGAACTTTAATTGCGCATACTTTCGTTTTCATTCATAACAGTTTCATTCGACGCCCATTGATCCCACAACAACGGACAAAAAATTACCCAATCATCGTCAACTAATTAGCGCGAAATTCTTAATTACCTGTTGCAGAGAGTCTATTCAATTCAATTGGACGGTCCCAGTTTTTGTGCAACAAACTTTAACTGCTACACAACATTTCTTTAGATAATATTAAAACGGAGTTTGCGGCGCTATTTGCCATTAAAGCTTTGTTGTTCTTTTTTTTCTTCTTGTTGTTCTTGTTGTTGTTCTTTATTCGCTCCATTCTGCAGTTCGCCTTCTTATTGTATGGTTCTCTGGCATATCAATGCACGTTTCGCGAGCGTGATTCCGTTATCCTTGGAGCCAGACATTTCCCTCCGCTCGAAAACCGCACCTAAATACAAATGTAGAGAGAGAGAACCTACCTATATACAGAGTAATATAAGATCAAAAAGGTTGAAACTCTGCTCCGGAGGAATTGTTTGTAAGGTCGATGTTAGAAGGAATTTAAAGGCTATCTTTTCATTTACACACAAACACTCAAAAATTTAGTGTATTTTTTGCATTACTTCTGATGACTATAATCATTCAATTTGATAATTTAACTTAAATAATTTAATGTGTAGAGATTATTATTAATTTGTTGGAACAACTTTAGGAGAAAAACTAAAAAGTCTTTAGATTTAATTAAATTTACAGTATACTCAAAAGTTTAGTTTAATCGTTAAATAAGGAAACAAAAGTTAATTGTATATAGAATAAAATTCACAAAAATATTTGTAATAATTTCAAATATTTACTCAAAATTAAAAAAAAATATTCTAGAAATCTACCAATTTGTTATATAATGAGATTAAACCAAAAATATTGTTGAATTAATCATTTTCATTTAAATTTTGGTAATGTTTGTATAGTTGAATTAATTAGTTTGTAGATTTTAGGTAATTAAATATTGAATTTTATGAAATTTCTAGAAAACTATTGAAGATAATTTCAATAGAAAACATGGAAATGATAGTTAAAAGTGTATTGAATTATTTGGTTTTATTTAAATTTTTCAATGATTTACGTGTTTCAAATAATTACTGGTTCAAAATGTAACATTTCACTAATTTTATTGAATTAAAAAAATAAAAAATAAAAACTTATTTTTGTTATAAATTATACAAAGTAAAGCTAAAACTATATATATATATGAAACTATAAAAGTATATGAAATTACTTAATTGTATTTATATTATGAAATTCTATGCGAGTTTTTAATAATTAGCTTACAAATTGAATGCAATGAAATTTGTGGTGGCATTGTCTTCATATTTTTTATAAAATTTCTCAACCAATAGAAAACATATTTTTGTTTTTAATTATGCAAAGTAAAGTTAAAACTAGATAGAATTACTTAATTATATTTATATTATTAAATTATTTGCGAGTTTTTTGTAATTAGCTTTGATGAAATGAAAAATGGAATTTGTTCTCGCATTGCCTTCATATTTAATGAAATTTCTCAAAAAGTAAAAAAGTTATTTTTGTTATAAATTATGCAAAGGAAAGCTAAAACTATATGAAATTACTTAATTTATAATAAATATTATTATAATATAAATATTATGAAATTCTTAACGAGTTTTTAATAATTAGCTTACAACTTTGTTGTAATGAAAATTGAAATTTGTCGTCTCTTTATTTTCACATTTTAATTAAATTCTCAATGCATAAAAAAACTTATTTTTGTTATAAATTATGCAAAGGAAAGCTAAAACTATATAGAATTTCATAATTGTATTTATATTATGAAATTCTTTATGAGTTTCTAGTAATTGCAATATTACAAATTTGATGCAATGAAAAAATTGTCTATTTTGTCCATTAAGTACATATTTTATTGAATTTCTAAGAAATCTATCGAGTCATTAAACAAGTTAAAAGTGTATAGATAAACAAGTGTATATAAATATTTCGACATCTCTAATGAATTTGCAGTAATTAGTTTAAAAATTTAATGCAATAAAATTCGAAGTCACGATAATGAAGTGTCTTCACATTTTATCAAATTCCTACAAAACTACGTTGGATAATTCCATCATTTGATATGGAAATTAATGCTAAAAGTATATGATAAAATAAAATTATAATTACATTTTTGTATCACTTTATCACTAATTTTAAGTAATTACTTTTTAAATTTTGAATTTTATGACAAAGAAATATTTTTACAAAAGTTAGATTTTCTATTAAATAGTTAAAAGTGTTTGGATTAATTGTTGTATATACTAATTGTCAAGATTTAAGCCTGTTTAGAGTAAATTTCGTAAAGTAGAGTAACTTTTATCAATATTGAATACTAATTTGGAAAATCTTAATCCACTATGAAAAGTTTATTATTTTAAATGAATGAAATTTCAATTTTAGCATTATTTTATGTAAGGTTTTTCTTCAGAAATTTATAAAATCTGTGTACTAACTCAATATAGAAATTGTCAAAATTGATTCAATTATAAATTTTTGTAAAATTCTTAAGATTTTATCAATTTTTGAAAGATCTACAAAAGTTAGAATCTTTATTAAATAAATTTTAAAGGGGTTTTGATTAACTTTTGTATATACTTAGGATTGTCAAGATTTAAGTCTTTTTAGAGCAAATTTCGTAAAGTAAAGTAATTTTTATCAAAATTGGATATTAATTTTGAAAATTTTAATCCACTATGAAAAGTTTATTATTTTAAATGACTGAAATATCAATTTTATAATTAATTTTTGTAAGGATTTTTTCAGTATTTTATAAAAGCTGTGTACTAACTCAATATAGAAATTGTCAGAATTGATTCAATTATAAATTTTTGTAAAATTATTAAGATTTTATCAATTTTTGAAAGATCTACAAAAGTTAGAATCTTTATTAAATAATTTTTAAAGGGGGTTTGGATTAACTTTTGTATAAAGTTAGGATTGTCAAGATTTAAGTCTGTTTAGAGTAAAGTAGAGTAATTTTTACAAAATTGGTTGTATTTTTGATTAATCCATTATGAAAAGTTTGATATTGAAATAAATGAAATGTTAACTGGATTTTTGTTTGGTAATGAAATATTAATTTTCGATTATTTCCTAAGATGTTATAATCTAGTGATATGCGGATACGTTACTTAAGTAAAGTAGATCATAATCGACGGAACATTTAAATGTTTCCGGTTCGAAGTCCTTCGCAGATCTAGAGCTGCTAAATTTGTGGACGATGTGTAAGAATGTTTCGGGTCCGCTGCATTCGTGAACGAAATCATCGTTATCAACTGACGCAACGAATTAAGCGATAAGCGCGTGCTTCTTGTTGTTTATTTTTCTTTTCCTCTCAGATGGAAGATCGAACTGTTGAAATAAACATCTTCCGCGACAGAACGATGAACGTAGCACCGAAATAAACATGTCTCAACATATCGCTGCCCTATTAGGTTTGTGTTTAAAGTGTCTAAATCTCTTGTTTAAATCTCCTGTTAAAGTGTGTTTTATCTTGTTAAAATGCGTCTTAATCGCTGGTAAAAGTGTATCTGAATTACTGTGTTTGAATCTCGTTGTTAAAGTGTTTATATCTGTAATTCTCTTGTTAAAGTGTCCTTGAGCGCCTTCTCCATTGGCACCTGCTTGAGTTGGACAGGTGTTATCAGATTCGCTTGGGAACCCACGGATGCGGTCATCGCCGTTGGTCAAATTGCCCATGTGGGAGCCGTGATTGGTGCTTTGGGAATTGGACCTTTCTGCCAGAGGATCGGACCAAGAAGGATACTTCAGCTGGTAGCGTTTCCTCTTTTCGGATCCTGGCTGATCGTCGCATTCTGGTGAGTCAAACGACGTGGAACCTTTGAACCTGCTCTTATCTCGCAATGTTAATTATCCTAATTTGTAGCGCCACGACTTACGGCCTGTACTTGGGCAGATTCCTTGCCGGCCTCAACTTGGGGGCCGTCTGTGTCGCCGCCCCGACGTACGTAGCCGAACTATGCGAGGCCAAGTACAGGGGATCCCTGCTTTCCTCGTTCTTCGTGCAGCTCGTCCTCGGAAAACTCTTCGGTCTGATCTTAGGTAAATATCTAACTCATTTTCATACTCTATGCTATTATTGTACAGATTACTCGACAACTGTGAGTGGTGATTAAATCATCGAATATTAAAATTAACACTGAAAGTCTTACCTTTCCAACGAGCCTACTGAAAGTTTTCTGCTGTCATGCATTTGCTATTAGTGTCGTTGCTAAAAAAGAAGCAGGTTTTCAGTAATTTTAGGATAATCACGTATGTTACTTACATCATCGTATACACAAATTAAAGCTAAATGTCGCACCTTTCCAACGTGCCTACTGACAGCTTTCTGCTATGAACTGTCAAAAGTGTCATTGCTGAAAAGGATAGTCTTCACTTTTGTCAATAATCTCGTAGGATAATTACAAAATAAAAATATTAAACTAGAGAACCTTCTACTAGTGATATTTCGATTTTGAAAGTATTTGAAAATTATAACAAAAGTTACGTAAAGCTCGATCGATAACCACGTATATTAATTGTATAATCAAATTAAAGCTGAAAGTCTCACCTTTCTAGATAGTCCAACTGACAGTTTTCTGCTGTCATCTGTTCATGAGTTGTCAAATGTGTCAAATACAAATCCTAAACTAGAGAGCCTTCTTCTACCAGTGATATTTCGATTTTGAAAGTATCTGAAAATTTTGACAAAAGTTACGTAAAGTTCAATAAGTAACCAAGAAACGATGTCTTTAGTTTTTCTTGAATTGCTCGATCGATAACTACGCATATTAATTGTATGATCAAATATACAAATTAAAGTTGAAAGTCTCAACTTTCCAAATAGTCCAATTGATAGTTCTCTACTGTCATCTGCTATGAGCTGTCAAATGTGTCATTGTTGAAAAGGATTATGTAGGATAATTAAGAAATAAAAATCTTAAACTGGAGAGCTTTCTTCTACCAGTGGTATTTCGATTTTGAAAGTATTTGAAAATTTCTGAAAATTATGACAAAAGTTACGTAAAGTTCATTATGTAACCAAGAAACGATGTCTTCGGTTTTCCTTGAATTGTTCGATTGATAACCACCCATATTAATTGTATGATCAAATACCCAAATTGAAGCTGAAATACTCACCTTTCCAAAAAATCCGACTGACAGATTTGTACTGTCATCTGTTATGAGCTGTCAAATGTATCTTTACTGAAAAGAATAGTCTTCATGTTTTCATTAATCTCGTAGGATAATTACGAAATAAAAATCTTAATCTAAAGAGCCTTCTTCTACCAGTAATATTTCGATTTTGAAAGTATTTGAAAATTTGCTGAAAATTATAACAAAAGTTACGTAAAGTTCATTAAGTATCCAATAAACGATATCTTCAGTTTTTCTTGAATTTCTCGATCGATAACCACGCATATTAATTGTATAATCAAATACCCAAATTGTCTAACTAACAGAATTGTACTGTCATCTGTTATGAGCTGTCAAATGTGTCATTGCTGAAAAGAAGTTATTTCGCGATAATTACATAATTCTGTCTTCAGTTTTTCATGAATTGCTATATAACCCCGCATACTAAATAGATGACTAAATACTCAAATTGAAGCTGAAAGTCTGACCTCTTCGACGAGCCCATTGACAGCTTTCAGCTGTCATCCATTCGTTTGCTGTCAATTTATTATTGTTGTTAGTTAGAATTTAGTTATAATACTTAGACGCATATTTAAGCGAAATTGAGCCTACAAATTAGTTAAAACTAAATGAAACGAATTCGCTTTAAATGAATCTAAATCCTTGCGATTTATTATCTAATATATCTAAATAATTGCGTCCGTAAATCATCTCGCATAAGTTTCGCACTAAATCCCGTAAGTTTAATCCTCGTTAAGATTAGAGCTGGAAGCGTGCACGCTTCACGCATTCGAATTAAACCGAAATATTAACCGCGGAAGACCGTGAACCGTGTCACCTTTGCAAAATCACCCACATTTATTTACTCTGTCTTCCTCATCTTTTTAACTTTTTTTTCTCTTTACATACATTTTTTTTATTTATTTTTGTTAGCGGTATAAAAGTTTCCGAAGTTGTTTCAGTATTGAGACGTGTATTCGGATCACGCGCCTCTGCTTTTCTCTTAGTTCTCCAGTTTTATCTGGGATCGTGTTAAGGCCGGAATGGCAAGTAAAACCTGAATCGTCCCTGGAGGAAATGCACACATATTCTTGTATACCGCAAACGTAGAGGAGAGTTAAAGAGACAGACAGAAAGGGGTACTTTATTATTTCCCGCAGAGATGAGAGGACATCTGTTTGAAGTGTATAGAAGAGACGTTTCTTCCACTTTGCATAATTCATAATTCACATTAGGCTCGGAGGGCATCAAAAGCAGATACAGTGAAACCTCGTTTTACGTTTTATTTAAATTGTAACAAAAATGGCTCTTGAAGTCATAGATTTTGCGTTTGTTACATAATTTTCAAAACTTGAATGTATTAACAATCTTCGATTCCTTTTGTCATCTTTGTGTATAACGGACTATACTTAATGTCTTGAAAAATAACTGTTTACAGCACCAATTGCTCCTTGAAAGGACAAAAAACCCTTTTCAGAAAGTAGTTTGTTGAAGCTAAATCTTGTGAATATAGTGCATAATTTTGAAAACTTGTTCTGTTCACGCACTTTCACTCGTCAATCATCTAATACTAATATCATTGACTTTTTGAATGTTTTACTGATGATGGTGAAGTTTTTAGAGACCATCAACGCTTGTAGTCCACGTTTAAAGTCTAAAGTTCTTATAAAATTACTGAAAATTATGACAAAAGTTACGTAAAGTTCATTAAGTAATCAAGAAACGATGTCTTCAGTTCTCCTTGAATTGCTCGATCGATAACCACACATATTAATTGTATGATCAAATACCCAAATTGAAGCTGAAAGTCTCACCTTTAAAAATAGTTCAACTGACAGTTTTCTGCTGACATCTGTTCATGAGCTGTCAAATGTGTCTTTACTTAAAAGGATAGTCTTCACGTTTTTATTTATTTTGTAGGATAATTATGTAAGATAATTACGAAATAAAAATCTTAAAGTAGAGATCCTTCTTCTTCCAGTGATATTTCGATTTTGATAGTATTTGAAAATTATTGAAAATTATAACAAAAGTTACGTAAAGTTCATTAAGTAACCAAGAAACAATTTCTTCAGTTTTTCTTGAATTGATCGATCAATAATCACGCATATTAACTGTATGATCAAATACCCAAATTGAAGCTGAAAGTCTCACCTTTCCAAATAGTCCAACTGACAGATTTCTGCTGTCATCTGTTCATGAGCTGTCAAATGTGTCAAATAAAAATCACTGTCTACAGCATCAATTGCTCCTTGAATGGTCAAAAAACGCTTTTCAGAAAGTAGTTTGATGAAGCTAAATCTTGTGAATATGGTGCATCATTTTGAAAACTTGTTCTGTTCACGCACTTTCTCTCGTCAATTATCTAATATTATGGACTTTTTGAATGTTTTACTGATGATGGTGATGTTTTTGGAGACCATCAACGCTTGTAGTCCACGTTTAAACTCTAAAGTTCTTCTAAGAACAGTTAGGAATGAACGAGAAGATTGGTATGAACTTCTGTTTCCGATAAACCTTACAAAACAAAGAATTTGAATACAGAAAGATACTCGTGTTTTTCCATCTTAGAAACAGCAACTAACAAACAAATTGAAATAAAATTTGTTTCATTGTACGAGTAAAATTCCTGTAAATTCCTGATTGCAGGCGCATCGATCGAGGATCCGAAACTGCTCGCACTGGCCTTCGCGATTGTACCTGTGGCTTGCCTCATCTGCGTCTCCTTCGTCCCGGAAAGTCCTCTGCATCTGACCTCCGAAGGAGAACTGGAGGATGCGAAGATAAGTTTGCAATGGTTGAGAGATCCTTCGAAGGATGTGGATGGAGAGTTGCTCGATGTAGCTGATAGTTTAACAGTTGAGCCTCAAGTTAAGATTGCCCTGAAGAAGCTTTCGATCGTCCTCGGCCTCGTCTTAATCCAAGCGCTTTGCGGAGCTCCGCTGGTCTTCCTCAAACTGGCAACATCGATTTCGATGCTGCTGGATGTTCGCAGCAGTTTCCTCTACATTGTCATCACCTACGTGAATCAGGTAAGAGTTTTTTTTTCTGTTCTGTTCTTTTTTTTTGTTCATTCTAAAGTTTTATCTCGACGTTAAAGTTCTTGCGAGTTGGAAATTTATGGGATTATCTTGGCCGCACGTTCTGCGGGCATCCACGTCTCTGCTCGTAATTAACTCGCATTCGCAGCAATAATTGGTTTAAATACATACACAGACAGACTCATTGCATATTCCGAGCATATTTATTTTGGATGCAACAAAAATTTTGCAGAATTTTGATATAATTTCATTTTGTTACGACTTCGCTTTTTATTTAATTACTCCACTCCATAAATAGATAAGGTAATGAGAACATCAAATATGCAAATTAAAGACAAATCTATAGCCTTTCTAATAAACCTACTTTCAGATTTGTAGTCTTTATTAATATCTAGTAATAAGCTGTCAAATTTGAGTAACTAAATTAGAACTTTAAAAGCTGTATCTATCATACACATTTTATTTAATTACTTAATAATCACGTATTCAAATTTAATTACAAAAGATGTTATTTCAAATTTGTATTGAGGTTATTTAGTATATTTTAGTAATTTCCTGTTGAATTTTCAAAAAAAATTAATTATGAATTTTTTGTCAAATTTGAACAGTTACCTTAAAAAAAGTATCTTAATCACTTTAGCTAAATAGATCATTGAATAACATAATTAAATATAAAATTATAACATTTCAAATTATCCTACTACGATATTTGTGAAACACCATTTTGTCATAAATTGTCAAAGTTGAAGAGTGAAAAAAAAGAAGTATTTTCACCTATTTTCAAATTACTTTATAATCACGTTGGCTAATTTGATTATCAAATATGCTAATTAAATATCCAACTATAGACTTTCAAACAAGCCTACTATCAAATTGGTGGTGTTTATTGTTCTTTTTGTCATAAGTTGTCAAAGTTGAACAATTACCTTGAAAAAAATCTCATCACTTTTTTGTTAATTATTCAATAATCATTATAATTTAATCATTGAATAAGATAATTAAAGAAAAACTTATTGCCTTTCAAACAAGCCTACAACGAGATTTGAGGTGTTTTTTGTTCTTTTGTTATAAGGTGTCAAAGACCAATAATTATATAGAAAAAAGTCACTTCACATTTTTTTTAATTACTCAATAATCACGTTAGCTAATTTATTCATTGAATAAGATAATTAAAGATAAAATGATTGCCTTTCAAACAAGGCTGCTACTATATTTGAGAATATTTTTTTTTCTTTTGTTATAAGGTGTCAAAGTTCAATAATTATGTAGAAAAAAAGTCTCTTCACTTTTTTGTTTAATTACTCAATAATCACGTTAGCTAATTTAATCATTGAATAAGATAATTAAAGATAAAATGATTGCCTTTCAAATAAGCCTATCACGAGATTTGAGGTATTTTTTGTTTTTTTGTCATAAGGTGTCAAAGTGCAATAATTATATAGAAAAAAAAGTCTTTTCACTTTTTTTTAATTACTCAATAATCACGTTAGCTAATTTAATCATTGAATAAGATAATTAAAGATAAAATGATTGCCTTTCAAACAAGCCTATCACGAGATTTGAGGTATTTTTTGTTCTTTTGTTATAAGGTGTCAAAGTTCAATAATTATATAGAAAAAAGTCACTTCACATTTTTTTTAATTACTCAATAATCACGTTAGCTAATTTATTCATTGAATAAGATAATTAAAGACAAAGTTATTGCCTTTCAAACAAGCCTATCGCGAGATTTGAGGTGGTTTTCGTTCTTTTGTCATAAGATGTCAAAGTTCAATAATTATATAGAAAAAAAGTCACTTCACTTTTTTTTTAATTACTCAATAATCACGTTATCTAATTTAATCATTCAATTAGATAATTAAAGATAAAATGATTGCCTTTCAAACAAGGCTACTACTATATTTGAGGTGTTTTTTGTTCTTTTGTCATAAGGTGTCAAAGTTCAATAATTATGTAGAAAAAAAAGTATCTTCACTTTTTTTTAATTACTCAATAATTACGTTAGCTAACTTAATCATTGAATAAGATAATTAAAGATAAAATGATTGACTTTCAAACAAGCCTACTACGAGATTTGAGGTGTCTTTTGTTCTTTTGTCATAAGGTGTCAAAGTTCAATAATTATATAAAAAAAATATCTTCACTTTTTACTTAATTACTTAATAACCATGCATGTCCATTGAACATGTCAATTAAAGATAAAAATATCCAACTATAGACTTTCAAACAAGCTTACTATGAAATTTGTGGTGTTTTTAGTTCTTTTGTAAAAGGTCTGTCAAAGTTGAACAATTACCTTGAAAAAAGTCTCTTCACTTTTTTGTTAATTACTCAATAATCACGTTAACAAATTTAATCATTGAATAAGATAATTAAAGATAAAATGATTGCCTTTCAAACAAGCCTACTACGAAATTTGAGCTATTTTTTGTTCTTTTGTTATAAGGTGTTAAAGTTCAATAATTATATAGAAAAAAAGTATCTTCACTTTTTACTTAATTACTTAATAACCATGCATGTCCATTGAACATGTCAATTAAAGATAAAAATATCCAACTATAGACTTTCAAACAAGCCTACTATCAAATTTGTGGTGTTTTTTGTTCTTTTGTACAAAGTTGAACAATTACCTTGAAAAGTCTCTTCACTTTTTTGTTAATTACTCAATAATCACTTTAGCAAATTTAATCATTGAATAAGATAATTAAAAATAAAATGATTGCCTTTGAAACAAGCCTATCACGAGATTTGAGGTATTTTTTGTTCTTTTGTCATAAGGTGTCAAAGTTCAATAATTATATAGAAAAAAAGTATCTTCACATTTTACTTAATTATTTAACAGCCATGCATTACAATTTGTTTATTGAACATGTCAATTAAAGATAAAAGTATGGTCTTTCTATTGAATATTTCGATTTACTTTAAAATGTGTATTTTTAATGGTTCTAAATTGGTAGTTAGTTAGTTGGATAAAATAGGTAATAGCATTGAATGCAAATAGCTTATCAAAGCAGAGATTAGCAACAAAGGAAGCGACGTCAGTGAGTGAGTGAATGAGAGCTAGTGTGTGTGTAATGATGAACAATGTTAGGATGTAGTCTGAGTTGGTAATCCAATATCTGTGGATGCGCATCGATTCGCTCCTCTAGCAGAGAGAGAGAGAGCTTCCCCGGTATATTAATCCAATTTTCTTGTAATATTGCCGATTCAAGCGACAATCGAGTTACTGCTGCATCCGATGGGTTCCGTCCAAGTTTCCATCCTCTCGGAATATATGCAAGAAACGACGACGACGACGACGATGCGAAAACTCGATTGGCCGCGTCGGAATTGCTTCTTTCCATCTCAATCAATCAATTAATCAATTAATTTCGGTTTTACAGGCTGCCGCCTCGTTGGTATGCGTCCAGCTGATCGACCGTTGCGGAAGAAGGATCCTCCTCGTTTTATCCACTTTACTAACGTACAGCTCTCTGATGGCTCTCGGTCTCTTCGTTTGCTTGGACGAACCGATGTCAATTCCCAATCTAGTCTTTCCAATAACGACGTGCCTGTTCGCAATTGGATTCTCCATCGGATTGGGACCGATCCTCTGGGTGTTCGCTGGTGAACTCTTCGGAGCTAGGACAAAAAGTTGGACGGTTCCAATAGTCGTAGCAACTTATTGGTCTCTGGATCTTCTGGCGCTGAAGAGCGAAACACACTTCAATCAGCTGTTTCTTGAAGGAGATCCAATGGGTGTTTTGGTATCTGCTCTACTTTGCTTCTTCTCCATAGTCTTCATCTACTTCTGCGTACCGGAAACCAATGGAAAGTCTATCAAGGAAATCGATGATCTCTTTATAAAGGATAAGATCCAACAGGACGCAGCATAATTTAACATAATTGGATTGAAATACATTCAAATCTATTATCTTTTTATTAACATTAACTTATTATTAAATTTTTACTTATATAAATCATAATAATTACCAAAATATAAATAAATACTTTTTTGATAATTATTAACAAATCATTATTTACCTTTTTTTCTACAACAAATTTTGTAACAATTTTCTTCAATCAATTAAGAAATCCGTCTGTTATGACCTGTCAAAAGAAATTCTTAGGTTAGTTCCTTAAAAAAAAAGTTTCTACATTACTACTTCTTACATATTTATCATCAAAGTTAAATACTCGATAATTACGCACACTAATTATATAATTTAACTTGATTATTAAAAATAAAATTATGGCCTTTCCAACGCGTTAACTGTCAGATTTGTGGTATGCATCATCCGTCTGTTATGAGCTGTCAAAACTGTCAAAAGAAATTCTTAGGATATTTTTGGTCGTTTCAAATACAGATTTTTAAAAAGATGTCTTCAAGTTATAATTAATTACTCAATAATTACGCACACTAATTATATAATTTAACTTGATTATTAAAAATAAAATTATGGCCTTTCCAACGAGTTAACTTTCAGAATTGTGGTATGCATCATTCGTCTGTTATGAGCTGTTAAAACTGTCAAAAGAAATTTTTAGGATATTTTTGGTCGTTTCAAATATAGATTTTTAAAAAGATGTCTTCAGTTTATAGTTAATTACTCGATAATTACGCACACGAATTATATAATTTAACTTGATTATTAAAGATAAAATTATGACCTTTCCAAGGAGTTTACTGTCAGATTTGTAGTATGCATCATTCGTCTGTTATGAGCTGTCAAATCTGTCAAAAGAAATTCTTAGTTTTTTTTTCTACATTACTACTTCTTACATATTTACCATCAAAGTCTACGATTTTGTGTTCGTATTTGATGGTTCGATGGAATTGCAATCTGTGTGGGTCGAGGAGCGTTTGCGTAACACTTAAACCCCCCTCCCCAGCCCTCTGACCGAAAACGGAAATACGGAAAACGGGGCAATTTACATTAACTACTTTCGTCCGCAAACGCGCAGAAATTCGCTTATTGGTTTTGGACGTTTCCCATTTCCCGTTTGTTTCGGAAAATAATTCGCTTGCGGCTGGGACACGGCCGCAATTGGACGGACGGCAAATTTGACGGAAAAATTGCCCATTTTAACTATTGTTACAGAAAAGTGGAAAAAAAATTGATGAAGGAGAAAAAGTTGCAGATCTTCACTATATAATTAACTACTCAATAAAGAAATACGCTAATTATATTTTGAAAAATTAAGTTTAAAGACAAAAGTATAATATTTTCAACGATATTCATGACCAACCATTCATTTGTTATAAGCTGTCAAATTTGAGAATAAAAAGTCATTTTTTAAAGAAAAAAGTTTCTTCACCTTTTATTTAATAACTTGATGCTAACTAAAGGCAATAACTTAATTTGCAAATGAAAGATAAAACTATAACCTTTTTAATGATTACATTCACAATTTTGTGTTATGCACTATTCGTTAGTTATAAGTTCTTAAATTTAACATTGAAAATATTTCTCAATTAAATTTGTCATTTTTTATCAAATTAACTCTATAACTAAAAAACTTTTTCTATACATTATATTACATAGAAAGCAGTATTTAATTGCGCATCTTTTGTTATAACTATTGTTACGTTACTTCAATTATTGACAAAGATATAGCGATTTTTGTATGCTAAAAATATAAAACGAAAATATTTGATAATATTAATTGAAAACTTCTAAATACTTGCAAAGTGAAAACATTCTTCAAACTGTTATTAAGAAGATTATTACAACGTTCCTTCTTGTTTTTCTTTTACTTGCACGAGCACGAGTTCACTTCCTGTTCTAGATACGAAGTTTAAGGTAGAACTTTGGTATAATTAGTGCAGCAGACTTAATGCTTGCAACGCTAAATTGAATATCAACAGTGTGTGTGTGTATATGCACGTGTGTATCATCAGGTAATTGACTTATCGATCCTTCTGATATAATTCAACAAAAAAAAGTATAGTTAAACTGAAGAAGAAACAGACACTTTTGCAAATCTCGCCTTCACGAACGTATGCATATTTCATAAATGCCAGTTTTATTTCAAGGAAATTCTTACTCACTCAATATTTCATAATTCCCGACACGCTCCTGTATATTTCCACCAGTATTATTACCGCTCTCCCCTCATATTTTTTTCTTCTGTCTTCTACCCTTTTTTTCCGTCACTTCCTTCCACTTTCCTTTCCGTTCTCTCCCCTCGTATTCTCCTTTCCAACTTACGCTCTCTTCTCTTCCACCTTAATTCAAATATTAAAGTATGCGTCCGACCCGTTTCCACGTACTTGACGAGAATATTTCATGATGAAAGACTACGAACTTTTCACACACACACAAATAAGAAATGGAATTCATTGTTTTCTTCTATTTTCGTACCTGTTTACACGCATTTCTTCGACGTTTATTTCATTCCTAAACTTTAATCGTTTCGCTCCATTTACAACCAGATTCTTACACTTGTATAAAGCATGAATTTCTTAAATTGTTCACTAACTTCTTTACACTACAATTTTATATACAAAAATATAAAAATATATATACATTAACTATATAGTGAATAAGTATGTTAATTTCTAAATTCAACTAAGAATAGACAAAATAATTATCGAAATTATTAAAGATACTCAAAACTGTTAAAAGAAATTCTTAGGATATTTTTGGTCCTTTCAAATACAGATTTTTAAAAAGATGTCTTTACGTTTTAGTTAATTACTCGACAATTACGCACACTAATTATATAATTTAACTTGATTATTAAAGATAAAATTATGGCCTTTTCAACGCCAACTGTCAGATTTGTGGTATGCATCATCCGTGTGTTATGAGCTGTTCTTACACTTTTTATACATAAATTTGTTCACTAACTTCTTTACACTACAATTTTATATATAAAAATGTATATACTTTAACTATATAGAGAATAAGTAAGTTAATTTCTAAATTGAACTAAGAATAGACAAAATAATTATCGAACTCTTTAAAGATACTAGTATATAATGCTTAATTTCATTGAAATTAAGAGTACCCCAAGGATGGGTACTTCGTCCTTAAGATATAGGACAAAGGTTCTTTTGTCCAAAAAACATGTACCACAATTGTAACTTTTATTCTAAAAGAGAAGTAACAAACGTAATTACAACGAAAAATTAAAGAAATGTGTACTTACCTCAAATATGTTACTGTAAAATTGCTATAATAAACTTACATTTACTTACTTACTTTTATAACAATTATTTAATGTATAAAAGTATCTGTGATAAAATTTCTTACTTTATAATATAATAAACTTACATAAAAATTGACATAACCCCAACAGCATAAACATGTCTGTCAATCAAAATAGTGACGTTTCTTTTATGACAATTTAACAAATTTCTTCAATTTTTACTAATAAGTAATTGAAAGATGTAAAAAATAGAAAATTTTGATAACAATTATTTGAATATAGTAAAAAGCTATTAAGGCTTTAAAAGTATCTTAGATAAAATTTCTTACTTTATACTATAATGAACTTACATAAAAAATGACATAACCTCAATAACATAAACATGGTAGTCAATGAAAATAGTAACCTTTCTTTTATGACAATTTGACAAATTTCTTCAATTTTTACTAATAAGTTATTGAAAGATTTAAAAAATAGAAAATTTTGATAATAATTACTTGAATATGCCAAAAAGCTATTAAGGATTTCAAAATACTTAAAATACTATAATAAACTTACATAAAAATTGACATAACTTCAATAGCATAAATATGTAATAGTCAATCAAAATAATAACGTTTCTTTTATGAAAACCTGTCAATTTTCTTTAATTTTTACTAATAATTAATTGAAAGAATTAAAAAAATAGAAAATTTTGATAATAATTACTTGAATATGGTAAAAAGCTTTTAAGGCTTTAAAAGTATCTGTGATAAAATTTCTTTCTTTATACTATAATAAACTTACATAAAAATTAACATAACCTGGAATAAAATTTGTTACTTTATACTATAATAAACTTACATAACCTCAACAGCATAAACATTGCTGTCAATCAAAAAGTAACGTTTCTTTTATGACACTTTACCAAATTTGTTTAAAAAATACATAATTGAAAAATTCAAAAAATAGAAAACATTCATAATAATTATTAAAATATCTATTAAGGCTTTAAAAGTATCTGTAATAAAATTTCTTACATTATACTATAATAAACTTACATAAAAATTGATATAACCTCAACAGCATAAACATGGCGGTCAATCAAAATAGCAACGTTTCTTTTATGACAACTAGTCAAATTTTTGCAAATTGTGTAAAAAAAAACGTAAATCATGGGATAATAATGTGTAGAAATAAATAAAAACCAAATTATTTTTTTCAATCATATATAGAAGTATATTATATACTTATTTTTTTTCTTGTTCTCATTTATTTTCTCGCCTCAAGACACAAATAATTTATACATGATTATAATACAGCAATCAACAATTATTACAGAGAGAAGCTCACATATTCATATAATTCTTATATCTTCTTTTTTTTTCTTCAATCTTGTAGATATATAAGCCGAAATATAATTTATACGTTTCTTTTGTATACATACATAAAGTGAATGTAATTATTTTTTTTCACTTATTCTTTTTTTTCAACATTCATGCATTTAGAATAGAGTACACTCATAAATATATATAGTTTGTTTATATTGAAATATGTATAATAATATTTATATATATTTTTTTTTAAATATTTATGTAAACATGTTTAATAAATAACGATAGAAATAAATAACGAAAACAAAAAACTTTTTTTTATATATATAAGAAATGGAGGAATCTTAATAACTAAAGGCACGAATCTCTCAATCCTCGTAGAAAGTAATTAATTATTCATTTGTTTATATAGTTTTATAGGTTAATTAATTGTCCAATGCCTTCTTCAATTTTTTTACATACATAGTTTTTTTTATATAATTAATTAATTACTTTAGTTTACATACAATATAGAATATTCATCTTCACAATAGACATTGATTAATTACAATTGAATACATCGTTAGGCGTATATTTATAATAGTTTTATTTGATTTATTAATTTTTTTTAAATACATAAATTTAATTAGTTTCTTATTTTTTGCAAAAAGTTTTCTCATTTTCATGCATTTAACGTCCACTTTTTGTTGTTGTTGTTTTTCTTTGTTCTCTTACATATAATAACATTATTTGGCTAATAAACACAGCCTTCAATTAGGTGGGATTCGGGTTTGTTCATACATTTCTTTTTTTGTTTACGCGTATGCAAATTATTCCGCACTTCTCTCATCGATTTACACATCAAAACAAAAGAAATACACACTAAAAATTGTAAAAACGAGTACACTTAAAATTAGATAACGAAACATGATCGATTTAGTTTAGTTTACATATTTTAAGTTTTTAAATTCAATTTTTTTTAATTATTAATTTATTATTAATACTATGCGGAGTAGAGTATAGAAAGTAGACACGGAAAGCTTAGGAAAACTATGCACGGAATATCAAGTCTTTTGCAAAAAAAATCTTTACATTTTATCTTATTTACAATAATTTTTCGTATATTCTATCGAAGAAATTAAATTTTGTTAGTTTATATTACGATAATTTTAAATAAAAATAGACATAACCTCAACAGTATAAACATGGCTGTCAATTAAAATAGTAACGTTTCTTTCATGACAATCTGTCAATTTTCTTTTATAATAGTTTTTTTTCATAAAGTAAAGCGTTATTAAGGCTGCAAATGTACTAGAAATATTCTTTATTACGTAAATATAAAATAAAAACCTCAACAGAAAAAAAAATGACGTTCAGTTAATACCATAACGTTTCTTTTATAACAATCTGTCAAATTTCTTTAATTTTTCTATATTTTTTTTTTCATAAAGTAGAGTTATTATAAGTAGAAATGAAATTTGTTAGTTTTTTCTACCTAAATAATAAATGAAAACTGATTTAACCTCAACTGAAGAAAAATGACATTCAATAAAAACCGTAACGTTTCTTTCATGACAATCTGTCAATTTTCTTTTATAATAGTTTTTTTTCATAAAATAAAGCGTTATTAAGGCTGCAAATGTACAAGAAATAGTCTTTATTACGTAAATATAACATAAAAACTGATTTAACATCAACAGAAAAAAAAATGACGTTCAGTTAATACCATAACGTTTCTTTTATAACAATCTGTCAAATTTCTTTAATTTTTCTATATTTTTTTTTATAAAGTAGAGTTATTGTTAGTAGAAATAAAATTTGTTAGTCTTTTCTACGTAAATAATAAATGAAAACTGATTTAACCTCAACAGAAAAAAATATGACGTTCAATCAAAACCGTAATGTTTCTTTCATGACAATCTGTCAATTTTCTTTTATAATAGTTTTTTTCATAAAGTAAAGCATTATTAAGGCTCCAAATGTACTAGAAATGAAATTTGTTAGTCTTTTCTACATAAATAATAAATAAAAACTGGTTTGACCTCAACTGAAAAAATATGACGTTCAATCAAAATTGTAACGTTTCTTTCATAACAATCTGTCAAAAATTTTAATCGTTGTTAAGGCTCCAAATGTACTAGAAATGAAATTTGTTAGTCTTTTCTATATAAATAATAAATAAAAACTGATTTGACCTCAACTGAAAAATTATGACGTTCAATCAAAATCGTAACGTTTCTTTTATAACAATTTGTCAAATTTGTTCATTCTTTTTATAATAGCCTTTTTATCATAAAATGAAGAGTAATCAAGGCTATAAATGTACTAGAAATGAAATTTGTTAGTCTTTTCTACATGAATAATAAATAAAAACTGATTTAACCTAAACTGAAAACAAATGACGTTCAATCAAAATCGTAACGTTTCTTTCATGACAATCTGTTAAATTTGTTCATTTTTTTATAATAGCTTTTTTCATAAAGTAAAGAGTTATTAAGGCTCCAAATATACTAGAAATGAAATTTGTTAGTCTTTTCTACATAAGTAATAAATAAAAATTGAATTAATCTCAACAGAAAACAAATGACGTTCAATCAAAATCGTAACGTTTCTTTCATGACAATCAGTCAAATTTGTTCATTCTTTTTGTAATAGCTGCAAAGATGTTTGTAATGAAATTTGTTACTATTTACTACATTAATAATAAATAAAAACTGACTTAACGTTAACTAAAGAAAAAATACTTTCATCAAAACAGTAACGTTTCTTTTATGACAATCTGTCAAAATAATGATTATAACTAAAAAATATTACAATATTTTTTACGTTTTCTTAATATAAAAAGGAACTGTTCACTCTTAGTTTACACACTGAAAACGAATTATCGATTGTGATAGTGAAAAAAAAAACATGTTTTATCGAATTGAGAGGATAAACTTGGGCCCTTTCGTTGCGCACACATGTGTGTGTGTGCGCGCGTTACGTGAAGGTTTCAAGATAAATTGCAGAAGATTAAAGACACGATATGTAATTTGTAACTTGTGTAAACCGGACGAAGGACAAACGGGACGAAAAGTGAGAGAGAGAGAAGAAAATTGGAAGTGGGGAGAAAACACGCAGAGCCTTGTCCTGTTATTTTATCTGCAGCTTCACAGATTGGCTCCTTTATTTCTGCAAGAAAATAGAACATAACGACGTTTTGTACAGTGGAAAATCGATTATTTTAAGTGCCAATTTTTATTGAAGAAATAGGCTGTTCAGGACATAGGTTTTCATTGAAAATTTTAAGAATTTAGTGAATTTATGTAAAATTTATAAACTATTCTTTGCATATTGCCATTAGGGTTTTAAGTTAGAATCAAAGTTTGTGATGAAATTTTTCTGTGAAGAAGCCAAGAAAATATATATTTTCTATAAAGGATGAGCAAAAGTTTCGTTCCGTGATGGAATTTAGCTTTCCGTGCCGATGAATCCGAGCGGATTGAAGACGTGAAATGCGGCCCGGCGCATCCACCGCAAATACCGAAGAGAAGAAAAAAAAACACGATAACGGTTTAGTTCAATTCGCATCGAACGCTAAGAATAATAATAAAACTATAATAGAAGACTGTAAATTAAACAGAAAATTCGCATACATCAGGTACATAAATTCACCCAAAATCCGCATAAAATACCAACAGAAAAAATAAATAAAGAGATTGCTCTTTTGGGCGCAAAATCAACATAAGATTAGCCTCCTAGGATCATCCATAATACAATTACATTACATTATATTTACATAAAGAGATTTTGAGATTTAAATAAGAAAAAGGAAGTGTTCATTTAATCCCTTAAATATTTACATTGATTATAATTTTTTTTGTAATTATTTGATTATATGTTTAAACATTCAAGTATTTTCTTGTTGGTAATTGTCAAATAGTTTGTGCTCAGCGCAAATTGTCTTTCAAACGGCAAAAGTCTCGCAGATTCGAGCAGTCTATATTGATCCGCTTTTTCTCGTACCGGATTTTAATTGGTTTCAGCTTAGATCCAATTGCTTTTATTTTTTCAGTGAAGCAAGATTTCTCCCTTTGTGTTAATAAAATCGAAGCCTAAGATTACACACAATCTTATACACCACAAGTTATTTTCTGCAAGTTAAATTTGATAAGTAACAATTGTTTTAAGTACTTTACTTTAGTTGGTTAAGAATTCTCGAAAAGTTTAGAAAATATACCGAAAGATGGTGTTTTATAATGTTAATAGACAGCAGTATTTATATTTTGTTCTATTGTTTCATGAAATTAATATTTTTTTTTACTAATTTAACATCCAAAACACACCAATAGATGGCGTATTATGAAATAGTACCAATTGCAATTGATTACAGCTGTATTTCTTTTTTTTGTCATTTGAAATATATTTATTTTATGAAAGTTATGAAAAACACACCAATAGATGGCGTATTGCGAAATAGTACAAATTGCAATTGATTAGAGCTGTATTTCTTTTTTTTGGCATTTGAAATATATTTATTTTATGAAAGTTATGAAAAACACACCAATAGATGGCGTATTATGAAATTGTACAAATTGCAATTGATTACACCTGTATTTCTTTTTTTTTGTCATTTGAAATATATTTATTTTATGAAAGTTATGAAAAATTTTAAACTTGCTATTTTTTGTTTACTTTCTAGTTTACGTTCTTAAATTTAAGATGTCCAATAGCACCAAATTGTTGTTGAGTCTGCGTTTGCCGTTTGAAAGTTGTCGGTTTATTTTGAAGCTTCACATGTATGGATTACCTCCTTTTTTTTTCTCGAATACTTGTAGTTTCTTAATAACTAAATATTATGTATATGTATATATTTATATAATTTAGCTAATACTTAAAAATAGTTATGTTTGAATAAGTCGTTAATCTTTCCCTCTCCGAAAAATGTTAGAAAGTGTTCGCTCGAAAATTTACAAAAAAGAAAAATGTAAATTAAAAAGGAGGTGTTAAATCTTATGCGTCAATCAAAAGAAAATTGCGAACGAAATGGATTTTGTTGTTGTTGTTGTTTGTTTTTGGATTAGGTGTTGACCCTGTTCAGCTCCAAGGCCCGATCAGTCTGGTGTCACCCGTACAGACACATGGCCACCTTAAGCACGGACTCTTTATCGAGATGCACTTGCGCCCTCTTGCGTTTCCTATGCCGTCACCTCGAGTCACTGGGATCTCCCCCAGGATCGCTGTCTTCGCCCAAAGAATTCCCAGTATTAGGCTGCATATTGCAACTTGCCGATCTGCATTGTCTACCTTGCAGTTGAGACCCATCAGACCCGCGTCGCGACGTCGAAAACCCGGTACCCTTGCAGAAGCATCTGCAGATGATCCTCTTGAACGCGAACCGGAAATCTTTCGAAAAGAGCGCGTAAATCAACGGATTTATCGCCGAATTACAATATCCTAGCCAAAACAATATAGAGAAGACCAAAGGATGGATACAGTCTTCGCAAAATGGACGCATCAAATAGATGGTGAAGAAGGGTAACCAGCAGCAGATGAAACCTCCGACGATGATGCCCAAAGTTTTCGCTGCTTTAGTCTCCATTCTGAAGCGCTTGACCTGCGCTTTTATGTTCCGCTTTCCCATCTTCTTGGAGATGACCTTAGGTTTATTAATACCATCCTCGCAGAGACTGGGACTAGGTGATCTTGTCGGTAACCTCTCTGTGCTTTCGCAGCTTGAAGATCGACGCGAGCAACGACGATGCGAACTCAGGCGAGGCGCCACCCTCAAATGCGTTTCCCTTCTGCATAAACTGGTGGTGGTTGCGTCTTTACCGTTAACACTGTAGTGCACCGCGTAGTTTGCGCCGGTCGGCGATGTAGGGGTCACCGATAGAAGACTTGCAGATTTGTGGTGAGGACCTAGGTTCTCGCTGGATGGATAACTCACGCTGATCTTGACCTTTTCGTGTCGTCCCCTGGGACTCGGCGATGCGCTTCCAGTCGTAGTCGTCGTGCTGTTACTTCCATTACTATGCGGAGATCCGTACTGCTTCGTCGAAGATCCGCGACCCCTGTGGATCCGCAACGTGAGTCTCTGCTCTTCGAAGCGATTACCCAACCCTCTGGAACCTGCAACATCACGAAACTCGTATTACATCATCATACGCATATATACAAAAAAAAATATATAAATGGGAAATAGAAGCGTTGATGTGGAGAGGAAAGGAAAGGCAAACACGGCAAAACGCCTAAGGGATTATACGACTTTTCCGAATACCTTTGTGGAGCTCAAAAAGCCTTTACCGTTCCGAAACAATACTTCAACAAACAAACAGAAAAATAAACGAAAACCTCAAACATATCCATAAAACTAAATCCCATTCGCGTTTTGAGTGCATTCATGAAATACACTAAAACATGATACGCTTTCTACTCACACAAAGTATCCTCTTTACTTCCTTTTTATAAATGTAATACAATATAAAAACTATTGTAAAGAAATCTCTAGATAATACATAATTCATAATTGAGATATTTTTGCAATTATTTTCATAATCAAAAGAAAATACTTTTTTTGTATTATTTCAAAAACTTTAAACTTTAACCCCATGTATTCATATAAATAATTATTGACTAATTTGAAATTTTTCAAAAACAATATTTTAATCAAAACATCAAAAATGTTATATAAATTTTATAATTAAATCATAAATTTTATTTTAAATCCATCTATTAATATAACTCTTGTTAAGTAAGACGTTAATTATTAACTAAGTTATATAATTTTGTTAATTACCAAAAAAATATTCAAGTGTAAGAAAACAGTCATCTTGTAATGGGATGTCAAAGTTGAGTAATGCAATTTAGTTGTTACAAGATGTTTCAGTTGATGAGAATGAAGACGATTAAAGGTGTGTTTTGATGATGAGGTGCGTGGAAGACCGAATGCTTAATTAGTGCATTAATGTATTACGACGATAAGAAGGGTTCCCGGCTCGTTTATTAATTATTTACGGGCTATTAAAGCCTTTTCGCCTAAGTGCTCAGACACGATAAAATCGTGCTTGAATAACCTCTTATTGCATATAAAACGCCCCCATAATACTATACACACTAGCTACTTGCATTTAATACATAAAGCCTGATTATTTCATCCATGCTACGTGTAATTACAGCACAAACTTGATTAATATTTAAACATTTTAATTTCATATACTTTGTTAATAATTTATGGAATTTGATTACATTTTTTATAATTCATAAATTCTATACAGTTTTCAGTAAATTCTGTTTTACAATTTTCGGACGAGCGGCGGATATATCCGACGTTAGTTTGATTGATTATAAAAATCTTAATTAATATTATTTATATTTTATTCTCTGTTTTACAATATGATTTGTCTATAAAAGTTTCATATTGTTTGATTTGGTATCGTCAATACTGTCCAACAATTATTTAATTTTATACAAATGTCATGACGTAAATGACACAAGTAACTTGAGAAGTATCACGTAATGTATCTCTATTAGGTGTACTTTCGTAAATTAAATGCATTTTTATAGACAAAAATATATACACAATCAGTGTATCCATTAGACGCGTTACTTGGCAAGTTCGTAGTGTAGAAATTATATAAGTTTTGTTAATTAAAAAATTATCATTGAAACATGAATAATGTTATCGTTTTATTTAATATATTTTTCTTTTAAGTGATTCTTTTACTTTATACAAATGTAAATAACACAAGTAACTTGAGAAGTATCAAGTAATGTGTGTCTATAAGTGCAATTAGGTGTACTTTCATAAATTAAATGCGTTTTTATAGACAAAAATATATACACAATCAGTGAGAGTATTTCAACAAGTAAATACATTCGACGCGTTGCTTGGCAAGTACGTACTGTAGAAATTATATAAGTTTCGTTAATTAGAAAATTATCATAGAAACATATGTTATCGTTTTATATAATTTATTTTCCTTTTAAGTGATTCTTTTATTTTATACAAATGCCATTACGTAAATAACACAAGTAACTTGAGAAGTATCAAGTAATGTGTCTCTACAAGTGCAATTAGGTGTACTTTCGTAAATTAAATGCGTTTTTATAGACAAAAATATATACACAATCAATGCGAGTATTTCAACAAGTAAATGCATTCGACGCGTTACTTGGCAAATTCTTACTGTAGAAATTATATAAGTTTTGTTAATTAGAAAATTATCATTGAAACATGAATAATGTTATTGTTTTATTTAATTTATTTTTCTTTTAAGTCCTTTTACTTTATACAAATGTCATGACGTAAATGACAAGTAACTTGACAAGTATCACGTAATGTGTGTCTATAAGTGCAATTAGGTGTACTTTCTAAATTAAATGCGTTTTTATAGACAAAAATATATACACAATCAATGCGAGTATTTCAACAAGTAAATGCATTCGACGCGTTACTTGGCAAATACTACTGTAGAAATTATATAAGTTTTGTTAATTAGAAAATTATCATATGAAACATGAATAATGTTATTGTGTTATTTAATTTATTTTTCTTTTAAGTCCTTTTATACAAATGTCATGACGTAAATGACAAGTAACTTGACAAGTATCACGTAATGTGTATCTATTAGGTGTACTTTTGTAAATTAAATGCGTTTTTATATACAAAAATATATACACAATCAATGCGAGTATTTCAACAGGTAAATGCATTTGACGCGTTACTTGGCAAGTACGTACTGTAGAAATTATATAAGTTTTGTTAATTAGGAAACTATCATATAAACATGAAATATGTTATTGGTTTATTTAATTTATTTTCTTTTTAAGTGATTCTTTAGAGTAAATTATGTTTCATCAATTGTGGACGAGCGGCGGATATATTCGACGTCAGTTTGATTGATTATAAAAAACTTAATTAATATTATTTATAATATCTTTCTCTGTTGTACAATATGATTTGTCTATAAAAGTTTCCTATTGTTTGATTTGATATCGTCAATACTGCCCATCAATTCCAGCGGTTGGGAATATTCCGCGAAATCGTCGTCAATACATCGATCCGATCTAAAAATAGACATTTAGACCACACTCGAAGATTAATTTTTCATGCGGTTCTATCCTCGTCCAGGACAATTAATACCTCAACACATCAACTCTTTTCACTCTCTCTATCTCTCTCTAACTTCTTTCTTTCTCTCTCTCTCTTCAATCTCTCCATTTCCCTTCCACATTCAAACAAAACACGAAATCCGTTTCCGTGCAAATGGATTACGTAGCGTAATGCGGTTCCGTTTATAGATATTGCCACATTCGGTCGATCTTTCTTTTCCACGTTTTTTTCCCTATGCTTGAGGAAGAAAAAGAAAAGACAGGAATAGAAGAATGGGGAAAAACACAGGCCGTTGCGTACGTGCACGTAGACGCCGTTCGCGCGGAAAAGGACCGGCAAATTGCCCGAAATTGAATCACATAGTTGGCCTTTCCCCCTAATAAAATGGGGAAATAAAGGAAAATATACACCGGAGATGGAGGAATAAAATAAGAAGAAAAATAGTGGAAAGAGATGTGCGGGCTTTTTGCTTATGTAAAACGCGGTGAATTGGTTTGTGCCTCCAGGCGATTCTGCTCACGCCCCATGGTGGATGCGCCGGGTCGCGCATAAACATCTATTACTTATATCCACTGTAACCTTCTTGCAAACCAATATTTCCTCATTTATTACTCAAAATATACATATATAAAATAAAGGGGATTTTGGGAGAGTCGAGAAAGCGTAAAATAGATATTTCGACATTATTTATATTCGTGCTGAAATCATATATCTCTTTGAAATATTTGAAATAAAAAAGAAAATCAACAATTATGTACTTACATAAATCTTTAAGTACTAATTCCATTAATAAATGCATATTTCCATAGCAATGAAATTATTGTATTTTTTTTTAAAAACTTCATTTTACAAAATTTTGGTTACTTTCTTTACAACGAAGTTATGCAACCAATATGCAAGTACATTTATGAATGAATCCATTGACCTACATTATATTTGATGACAAAAAACACTACCGACTGCATGTGCAAAGGAATGTAGCAAAAAAATAACATGCAGACGTCTGTTCATTTCTCAGAAATACGCACAGTCAATGAAACGATGAAAGAAAGAGCAAAAAAAATGATGTGTGTAGTAAATTCCGTCTCGGGTCTAGACGATAAGGAAAAGCAAAAACTTATTCCAAATAACATCGACGAAACACACACAAAAAAACACTGCATATTTAATTTTCAATGTCACAGTTCTTTTTGTATAATAGTCTGGAATTTTGTACCTTTTAAATGATTATTTAACGCACAATTATATAATATACGTGATACTTGTCAAGTTACTTGACAAGTATCACGTAATGTGTCTATAAGTGCAATTAGGTGTACTTTCGTAAAATAAATGCGTTTTTATAGACAAAAATATATACACAATCAATGCAAGTATTTCATCAAGTAAATGCATTCAACGCGTTACTTGGCAAATAGTAACTGTAGAAATTATATAAGTTTTGTTAATTAGATAATTATCATAGAAATATGAAAAATGTTATCGTTTTATTTAATTTATTTTTCTTTTAAATGATTCTTTTACTTTATACAAATGTCATGACGTAAATGAAAAGCTACTTGACAAGTATCACGTATTGTGTGTCTTTACAAGTACAATTAGGTGTACATTCATAAATTTAATGCGTTTTTATAGACAAAAATATATACAATCAATGCTAGTATTGCAATAAGTAAATGCATTCGACGCGTTAATTGACAAGTACGTACTGCAGAAATTATATAAGTTTTGTTAATTAGAAACATGAAAAATGTTATCGTTTTATTTAATTTATTTTTGTTTTAAATGATTCTTTTACTTTATACAAATATCATGACGTAAATGACAAGTTACTTGACACGTAAAGTGTGTCTTTACAAGTGCAATTAATGCGAGTATTTCAAGAAATAGATACATTATATAAGTTACTTGACAAGTACGTACTGTAAAAATTATATACGTTTTGTTAATTAGAAAATTGTATTTAATAATATTTTATTTGATTCATGAAATTTCTATTTATGTAATTTCCAAACTTTATTGTTTTTGTTAAGTAATTATTAATTATTATTTTGTTAATTTCACCATAAAAATGTTTCTTTTTATTATGCAATTTTTACAGTAATAATTATTTTAGTTCATCCAAAATTGCTAATTTTATATCTATTGCTAAAGTTTAAAAATATTTTTTTACTGGTATTATTTAGTTATGCTTCAGAAACCTTTATTATTAAGACAATTTTCTTTTTTCTTGCAAATACGTAAATTTCATGTTAAAATTGTCTTCATTCTTATATTTTTTAGGTTATGAAAAGGTTATGGGTTAGTGTTTTTGAACATTCTTAATTTTTCTTTTGTTTATGTATTCGTTGCTAAGGGTTTTGAAAAACTTCTAGATTTTATGATCATTTTCTTTTATTTCTTGCAAAATCATTCTTCTGCAATTATTTCTAACCACGTTCATTTCTTGATAAATATATTTAATTATTAATTATTTAGAGACATTCAATAATTTTTGTGTTGCTTAGGGTTTGGAAAGGTTATACTTTAATTGTTTTTAAAATCTTAATATCTCTTTTGTTTATTTATACTTTGCTAAGGGTCTTGCAAAACTTATTTATTTTATGACAATTTTCTTGCAATTTTACAATTAATGAATTATTTAGAGACATGCTTTAATTTTTGCTGTTGCTAAAGCTTTGGACAGATCATGCTTTAGTTGTTTCTAGGGGATTTTGCAAAACTTTGTTGATTTTATATTGGTATTACCTTTAGTAGTTCTGAATCCTTGGTTTATAGCTCTGGTGGTGAGAACGGCCGCCCTGTAGATCTTCCAATAAAAGAAAAGCATCACGAACATCGGGATGTAGAACGATCCGAGCGCCGAATAAACCACGTAACCGGCTTCATTAGTCAACTCGCATTGCCACTCGCACGGTGGATATTCCTCCTGTCTGCTGGCATTATCGTTCTGCGCCTGAAACAAATTGCAAAAGAGAATGATTTAGTGAGCTTTCCCTCTTATTTCCTTTTTACCATCTTCTACGTTATTTCTTTTCTCCACCAATTCGCAAACGTACGTCTACAAACACGTATGAAGAGAGAAAAAATAAAAGAAAAAATGAGACCAATTTACTTCTTTTCCTGCTAATCCCTCTTCACTGTTTACTTATATGCATAAATAACTTTGAAGAAAAAAAAACACAATTATATAATTTACGTCATTCAATTTGTAATTTTTTTTTTCTAATAATTAAAATTTAACTTTTCCTAATAAAATCAATATTTATTTATCATATTATTTCATCGTAAACACATTAGGTTTTTAGATTAGGTAACAAATTTTATTTATTTAGTTATCTAATCGCGCATAAATTGGTATTTTGATTATAGTTTATTATTGTGTAACGAATTTTACTATTATTGTTGGTTGAATATCATGTAATTATCAAAGGGAACGCGAATTACAAAAGATATTTGTTCAAACACACGCACACACACCTCGTGTTTCCCATTGAATTCCTATCACAATTGAACTATTCACCTCTCCATCAAAGCAAATTTGTAAGACTTGATACATTTTGCTATTAATTAGTAAACGAAGCCATCAAAAGCGTTTCCTAATTACATAATATGGAAGCTTAATAAAAAATATTATTTTGCATTTAAACAAATTCTTTCATGATAAAATTTGTCATATTTTTTTTAAATAAAATTACAAATAAACTAAAATTGGTGATACTAGTATAAAGTTTCTCAATAACGTAAGAATTATATGTTTTTTTTAAGAATTTGTTTAAAACAAGTATAATTATTTGCAAATCGTTAACAATTATAATAATAAATAGTGTACAGAAAATATAAAAGTTATGAACTTTCATTCAAAATTGAGAAAGTTTTATCTAAAACAAACAATATTTGTATAAATTGAAAAAAAAATAAGTAAATTTATTTGCAAATCCTTGATCTTAAGAATAATAATTGTTTTTTTGCAAAAAAGAAATCTATAGAAAATTATGAACTTTTCATAAACCTTGTAATGTTTGTTGTAATGTATAATAATTGTATGAATTGGCAATAATAAGTACAATTATTTGAAAATCGTTGAACTTAAGAATGTCCAGAAAATGTACAAACATTGTACAAATTATGAACTTTACATAAAATTTGTAATTTTTATTGAAAAAGTTTTATCTAAAATAAACAATATTTGTTTGAATTGGAAAAAATATGTACATTTATTTGCAAATTGCTGAACTTAGGAATAATAATCGTTTCTTTGCAGAAAAAATGTACAAAAATTGTACAAATTATGAACTTTCCATAAACTTTGTAGTTTTTATTGAAATCTACAATATTTATTTGAATTGGTAATAATAATTATTTGAAAATCGTTGAAATTAAGAATTAAAATCGTTACATTGCAAAAAAATGTACAGAAAATGTAAAAAAATTATACAAATTATGAACTTTCCATAAAATTTGTAATTGAAATAGTTTCATTTAAAAAAAAATTTGTACAATCGTAATACAATATTTGTATGAATTAACACAATTATTTTAAAATCGTTTAACTTAAGCATTGTAATCGTTACATTGTAAAAAAATATATAGAATATGTACAAATTATGCTTTTCCATAAAATTTGTAGTTTTGATTGAAAAAAGTTTCATTTAAAAAGGACAATATTTGTATGAATTGGTAATAATAAGTACAATTATTCGTAAATCGATGAAATTAAGAATTATAATCATTACATTAAAAAAATGTTCAAAAATTGTACATATTATCATAACTTTTCATAAACTTTGTAGTTTTTATTGAAATGTACAATATTTGTATATATTGGAATAAAAATAAGTAAATTTATTTGCAAATCGTTGAACTTAAGAATTATAATCGTTACATTGCAAAATAAAAGGACATAAAATGTTCAAATTATGAATTCTTGATAAAATTTGTAGTTTTTATAGAAAAATATTTCATTTAAAAAGAACAACATTTATATGAATTGCTACAATTATTTGCAAATCCTTGAACTTAAGAATTGTAATCGTTACTTTGCAAAAATGTATAGAAAATGTACAAATTAAGGACTTTTCATAATTTTTGTAGTTTTTTTTTAAGTTTCATCTAAAATAAACAATATTTGTATGAATTAGAAACAATAAGTAAATTTATTGGAAATTATTGAACTTAGGCATTATAATCGTTTCTTTGCAGAAAAAATATACAAAAATTGTACAAATTATAAACTTTTCATAAACATTGTAGTTTTTACTGAAATGTAATATTTGTTTCAATTGGTAATATTATGTACAACTATTTGAAAATCGTTGATATTAAGAATTAAAATTGTTACATTGCAAAAGAATGTACATAAAATGTACAAATAATGAACTTTCCATAAAATTTGTAGTTTTTATTGAAAAAGTTTCATTTAAAAAGTACAACATTTGTATGAATTGGTAATAAAAAGTACAGTTTTGTACAAAAATTGGACAAATTATAAACTTTTCATAAACCTTGTAATTTTTATTGAAATGTACAATATTTGTATGAATTGGTAATAATAATAAGTAAAATTATTTGAAAATCGTTGAATTTAAGAATTACAATCGTTACATTTAAAAAAAATGAATAGAAAATGTACAAATTATGAACTGTCCATAAAATTTGTAGTTTTTATTGAGAAAGTTTCATCTAAAACAAACTATATTTGTATGAATTAGAAAAAGTAAGTAAATTTATTTGCAAATTGTTGAACTTAGGAATTATAATAGTTTCGTTGCAGAAAAAATGTACAAATTATGAACTTTCCATAAAATTTGTAGTTCTCATTGAGAAAGTTTCATTTAAAACAAACAATATTTGTATGAATTTTAAGAATTATAATCGTTTCTTTGCAAAAAAATGTACAAATTAGGAACTTTTCATAAAATTTTTATTGATAATTTTTTTATTTAAAAAGAACAAAATTTGTATAAATTGATAGAGATGCCAGTAGGCTCGTTGGAAAGTTGAGATATTCAGCTTTTATATGAGTGGTCGATGATGTAATTATCTTAAGGGGTTGTCAAGAAATTCACGAAAAAGTGAAAAAAAAAACGAAAAAACGTCGTTTTTCTGTTACGTAACAAACATTATGTTACATAAAAAGTTGCGCAACGATTGCGTGCATGTGATTATGCAATAAAATAATAAAAAAGTTCATTAGTTTTCAAGTTATTAAGGAAAATCCATTTTTTTGGTAAATCCTATTCACTTTTCTATTCCAATTTCTACAGCTCATAGCAGGCAACTCGACGACAGTACGAAGATGCTAGTAGGCTCGTTGGAAAGGTGAGACTTTCAGCTTTCATACGAGTGGTCGATGATGTAATTATCTTAAGGGGTTGATAAAAGGACAAAGCAAAATTATTTGCAAATCGTTGAACTTAATAATTATAATCATTACATTGCAAAAAAAAAAGTACAAAAAATGAAATTTGAATATAGTGAATATTGGTCAAATCGTGTACAAATTTTAAAATTTTCCATCAAATTTTATTGTTTTTATTAAAAAACAGTTAAATATTCCATATGTAGATTTTATTTGATAAAGTTTGTAATATAAACATTGATCTTTTCATCAAACTTGTTAATATAATACAATAGTGAACAGTTGAGACAATTGTCGCGAATTCTGAATCTTGTAGCAATGCATAATGTGCAACATAAATTAGACGGATGAATGCGACGCAATTAGCGTCAGATTCGGGGCAAATTTGAATGACAATATTGGGCTCGGTGTCTGTACTGAAATGTTTAGTATATAGGGAGGACGAGGAGTAGGAGGACACATTTGGGGACACCCAAGAATAATCAGCGTTAGTGCAAATGCAAACATCACAAAATATATCTCGACCCACGCCATTCACTAACGACGATAATGATGATGATGACTTCAACAATCATCGCATCCGAAAGTCAATCAATGCATTTTAATTGCAGATCAATATTAATTAATTCCCCATTTTATCATCAGCTTTGAATGAACTCATTCCCATCCGAAGGTTTAACCTTAATTAATACTCAACCTTGTTGTTGTTGTTGTTGTTCACATATTTCCCAATGACTTTGTCCGTGCGTCATTGTCTATTTTATTTTAGAATAAAGATTAATGCAACGCTTCGTGGAAAAGGGTTGTGAATTTGAATTTGGAGCGAGGGCGTGAAATAGATGTGTGTGTAAGTGGGTCTCTATTCGAAGATTGTTATGGGAAGGAATAAAGAAATGGGAAGGGCTCGGCTTTTGCGGAGAAACGCTCACCTCTACCGTCCGTTTCCTTAGTGGAATAAAAAGAAGAAAAAAAGGGAGAAGAGAAATGACCTGACTTTACGAGCATTTATTGCATGCGATTCACGAAATAAACCTTACGTAATCGTATTAAACCGTGTAATTTTACAGATATAAACCTTTCTTCGTTGAAATCAATAGCAATGAATACCAGTACTAGAAGAAATTTATTAGATAATTGCATTTTTCTATTCTCTCTCATTATCAAATTAACATTTCATAGTTTTTGTTATTTTAACGTGATTTCTAGGAGAAATTTTACTTTTATATTTACAAAAATTAAAAAAAAAATACAACGTTTTTCTTAGTATTTAAATTAAACTTTTACTTAATATTTTTTTGTGAGAAAATTTAGAATTTTCATTTCATTTTTGAAAATGTTAAATTCCAATTGATTAAATAAATAAGTTATTATAGTTTTGTAATTTCATGAAAATTTCTGAAAAAGTAACAAAATATATATTTGAAAATCGTTTTTTTTGTTATAATAGTGTATATTTCTTGAAATTTTACTAATAAATTCGTTTATAGCTTACTAATACTTTTGTTGAGTGAAATAACTGTTGATAATGTAATGGATTCTGAATCTTGTAGCAATGCATAATGTCCAACATAAATTAGACGGATGAATGTGACACA